ACTGACCTGCAAACTTTCCCAGTGGAATTCGATTAATCATGGCAGCAGATTTCTGAGGGTCGCTCCAATTAATTCTCCCCATGTCAGTCATAACCACTGTGGGGTTCACAGTGTTAACTCGAATCTGGGATCAAGCAAGAGCAACAATCTAACCAGGCTGCTCTGAAGTGCTCAGGTTCAGCTTTCACACTTTTCTTTGTCTCAGAAAGAATCCTACCTTGTGGGGTCCTAGTTCCATTGCCATTACCTTGCTCAGCATATCCAAAGCACTTTTTGTGGAACCTTCAAGAGAAGGGAAGAACACAAGGCATTTAAGCGCATAGCGCTTGGTCTGAAACACACACAACTATTTCACCACCCAGAGCTGGCAGCCAGCAGCTTGGTGGCTGTGGGGCTCCAGCTCAGTCAGAAATATGAGGGGTGCTGCTAAACCACATGTACGTACAGTACACAGCATGATCCTGCAGAGCACGCCGAGATGCCTGGCTCGAGACGTTCACAATAGCACCTGCCACCCCCTGTGCAATCATCTGCCGAGCCACAATCTGGAAGCAGGGGGAGAAAACAAAGAGAGATGCCAGAATCATAACAGGAGAAATCATTATTTCATTCAGGAGGAATCTTGCTGGCTATTATGGTAGCCAAAAGAGCAAAAACATCTAGAGGAAGTAAGTCCTCCCTGCCTTCCACTTACAAGAGAGAGTCTAAGTGAGAACAAAGGGCAAATTGTCAGGTTAACTTTCGGTTAGAGTCCCTTTAGTCCCCACAGAGCACACTTATCCCCACTATGTAGAACAGCTTAGTCACTGCTATTCATGGAAACACCTGCAGTGACAATTCTTTCTCACCTGGGAAACATGAAGCACAGCCTGAAGATTCACATCAAAAGACCTACAAATAAATCAAATTGAAAAGTTACAGAGTGGTTGCAGGTCAGAGAGGAGTTGTTTTGGGAGGCAGCAGAGACTTAAGTGCTGCTGCTGCTGTCGTGGAAATGCTGGTGGTACTCTAGAACAGGGGCAAGAATGGCAGCTGAGTGGCCAGCAAGAAAGGGTGCGCTCCCAGCAGCAAAGCGTTCACCGGATGCAGCAGGAGGTGAACTAGTCCAGCAGGACTCTGGTCTTGAGCAGCCTGATGTAGTTCCTCTATTGAAGTTTAAACTGTGAGCCCTGGTCCTCAGCCAGTGATTCTTCCTAGGTCAATCAAACCCTTCATATGGCAGTAAAACAGCAAATCTGTAGGATGGGTCACACAGGCCTTCCTTGGTCAGGTTTTTACCTGCTAGTTCTGCAGAACAGTCAGTGGAATTCATACGTTTTATAGTCTAGTCACAAATGAATCCTTGATTATAGACCTGCAAAAGCAATTCTTAACACAGGGACAAAGCACGACCCATCTTCTTGGAAGCAGACTCACCACATCCTGTATCCTAAAGCTTAGCCCCGATTGGAACTATGGATCTTTTGAGAAACAGGTATCATGTTATTGCAGCAAGCAAATTTAATTTCCCACCATAGCAATTTTATACTCCGTTACCTGGCTCTGTCTTCTCTATATCTGAATTAACAAGTGCCTTTCGATTTAGCAGAGGTTGGGTTGCAGCTAGACTGGAAGCTCTGAGCTCGATTAACAGCAAAAGGTGCTCCTGTGTCCCACACAGGCTGGCTGGTGTGCGCACACCACCTTCTATGAGGTCAAAGTACAGGCTCTGGCTATTCAGTAGCTGGACTAGGCAGTGCTTTACTTGGTTTCCTTTTAATGCTTACGGGGAGCAAGGTGATTTTGAGAAGTGCGAAATACAGTAAACAGACACAAGCAGTAGCAACCAGACGGCTTCATCAAGTAGGGGAACGATAGCATTTTTAAACGCGTGCGTGTCTGGTGCCGTTGCACAGCTGCTTCCCCTCTAGGAGACACCCGTTTCTGGACAGTGTTGCCATATTCTGGCGCCCGGGCTCGGCTGAGGCTCGGCCGGCAGCGTCCCCTCAGCACAGGCGGGGGCAGCGGCCGCCGGGCAGCTTGACCCCGTGGCACTCACCGCTGCAGGGCCTCCCGCGTCACCTCCAGGAAGGGCTGCAGCACCGCCACGGCCGCGTTGTTCACCAGCAGCTCGAAGGGCCCTGCCGCGCCCACCGCCGCCTCCGTGGCGTCCCAGTCAGCCAGGTCCAGGCACAGGGGCTCGATGCCCGGGCACTGCGGCGAGGGCGGCCCCCGTGAGTCGGGCGGCCCCAGGGGAGCGGGAGGCGCGGCGGGGCCCAGCCAGGTTACAGCGGGCGGGGAAGGCGCGGCCCTGGAGGGGTCCCGGGAGGTCCCGAGGCGGGGGCGCGGTCGGTACCTCCTGGCCGAGGCTCTCCAGGTCCGCCGCTGTGCGGCTCAGCGCGGTCACGCGGGCCCCGGCTTTGCTCAGCGCCACGGCCACGGCGCGCCCGATCCCTGCGGGGAGACGGCGTCAGCCCGAGCTTCCGCCGGACCCGGCCGCGGCCCCGGCCCCGGCCCCGGCCCCCCGTCACCTTTCCCAGCTCCAGTCACCAGCGCCCGGCGCCCGCGGAAGCCGAGCGGCGCCTCCATGCTGCGGAACGAGAGCGGACTGCGGCCGGGGCGGCCCCGCCAGCCCGAGGCGGCGCCGAGGCCGGGCGGGGCCCGAGAGCGAAGGAGCCTGATAGGGCCGGGCGGCAGCGGGGCCTGCCCCGCACGGGCCAGGCTTGCCCGGACGGGGAGGAGCGGGAGCGGGAGCGCCGGGCTCTGCTCCGCGTCCTGGGAGGGGCAGAGCGCGGACCCGCCCTGCGGCAGCTCCCGGAGGACGCAGGAAGAAGCCGTTCCTGGGCCCGCCCAGCAGGAGATGGGGGTGCAGAGGTCGGTCCTCTAGGCTCTGGTTCCCATTGAAGTGTCACCGAGATACCGCAGGAAAACGGGCTGTTTCACCCGAGGATGAAAAGACCCAGGACTATGCCCACTTCGAGCTGCAGCCCTCACCTAATAGTCACTGCCTAGAAAATCAGCTCCAAGTACTCTGGCTCTGTGGGCCCGAGGATCTGGGCATGCAGCACTTCGCATGCAGCACCTGTGTGACAACAGCAACGTACTAGAAGGTACAACAGACAAACAGGCTAGAACTAGCCAAGAGGTCACAGATAAGCTACTACACCACGGTTTATTTCCAGTGATAGCATGGCAGTTGCACTGCCTGATGTACAGAGCTGGCATTGTGTAACTGCAGAGAAGCACAATTACACAATGCAATCAGCCAGGTCTGTAATACTACCCAATCCAATCATTGCTGAGGACTCTTAAATTTAAGAGCTCCTGCAGCATATTTAGTAAGTGCAGAAACAGAATAGGAAAGTGCAAGAGACAAGTTTACAACAATTAACTTAGTTCTTCTTTAAATTCTTTTACTTTACTCTGTTAATCGTTAGATTGTGCCAGGATTCTTCTCATCCGTGTCTGTTCCTGTGCACATCCAAGTCATGTAACTCACACGATTTTTAGCCATTTGGCATTACAAGAGCCTGGTAGGAGGATGTAGCTTTCTGGATTGCAGGCTTATGGTCCTCTTTTGGAATAGAGAATATGTAAAGAAATATCACAAACTAGGCTTTGATATATTTAAATATTTATTTTGCAGAATCACTTTATGTATGAGACAGTAGTTTGATTAAAAAGCTGCATCCAAATGTATCCACACAGCCTAAGGCATTGTCAACACAAGAAACCTTAGAAGTTTGACAGATTGAACAGTTCTGTATTGCCATGCAGGAGAACGTGGTCATTTCTCTGTTTAAGAAACACCCTAGCAGCTTAGAGTATGGCAGCTCTTTAAACTAGGTATGTCAGGGTGACCAGTGACTACAGTTTGCAACTTGTACTACTCAGTTTTGCTGCCATCCACATATAGTTATTTTTGAACTCAAGTTTGCCACAATCATGACTCAGTCCATGCTGGCTGTGATACCTTACAAGAGCTGTTGTCAGGGGAAGAGAAAGAAAGGCTCCAACAGAAGAGTGCAGAATCAGTGTTTGAAGGCAAAACCTTATCAAGAACTCATGAAGTTTCATGGCTTTCTGCTACAGGAGACTGAAAACAAGAATTGTTGAAAACATTGTTGAAACATTGTTGAAAACAAGGCTTAGGAAAAGAAAAAAAAAAAAAGTTTCTGCAGATACCAGGAATCTCCAGAGCCATTAACGACAAATCATTAAAACCACAGGACACCTCAGTTCTAGTGAGCAGAAGACCTAATAAAGAGGTAGAACATTCCACAGCTTGGAATTCCACAAGTCCTCCTCTGAACAGGCTGTTAGAGTTACAGGTGTAACTGTTCTGGAACAGCCACTGTGCTAAGCTGGACTTGGAGCCAATTCCCTGCAGCATTCTTACTCCAATACCTCATGGTCACCTTAGTCGACATGAAGGAGAAATTTAAGCATGAGCTGCAGGACTGGAGCAAGTAGCATCATCTTGTTTGCTCCTCAGTGGAATTAACTAAAATCATGCAGAGAGGACACTGTACCCAGGCAGGCACTGACAAGTTTCTGTTAAAAACAAGAGTGTGGGGGAGCAGTGTGTGGCAGAGCAGTGTGTGGCAGGGCACTGCCACCACTGCTCAGTTTCATACTTGGATCCGCTGCAGGCCTCTGCCTACATGACACCACTTTTCAGCTGTTCAGAAATCTCGAACTGTTGCTAGGTCCACATTCTAGCCTGGAACCACAATTCCAGTTTGCACAATGCCATTCTATTATTCACCTGTTAACTCAGCCTCGGACTTTAGCACTAATCTAGCAAGTATTTTCTGAGGAGTTTGTGAGAATAAACAGAGGTTTTGCAGAATCATTTTTTATATCGTTCTTCATGTCAGGTATGATTGACATGGCCAAAGTTTGGGCTAACAGCAAAGGAAACAAATGTAGCTCCATTTCTTCCACTTTCTAAACTAAGGTTACTTAATTTAAAAAGCAGCAGCACTGAACTTCCGCCTTTGTGCTTGTACAGTCTCCTGTTAGAGACAGCATGAACTGTTTATTGAAACATTGAATAAACACTGATCTAGACCTTAGGGTAATCAACAGATTATCTGAACAAACTGGAGTAATCACAGTCATACAATTAAAGGTCCTCAAATGATACCATCAAAAACTTCCTTAGGGCATTAACTGCTATTGAGCATCCCCCCTCCGTCACAGACAGCAAAAGACACTGCACAGCATCAGAAACAAGGTGTTTCCTCAGCCAGTGAGCATGCTCTAGCTCATACCACCTGCTGTGGGCAACACAGGAGAGATGATTACCATGTAGTCTGGCAAATACTTCTTCAGGATCAAACATCAAGGGAATAGGCTTGGATCTGACAGACCACCATCATAATCAACAACCACTGCAATTCAGCTGGTAAGAGAGACAAGTCTGACAATCACCTCCATGGGAGGTACACATGGACTACAGGGGAGAACATGCATGCAAGCAACTCTTATCCAGTCCTGAGTAAGCTTACTCTTACATGAGTTTTCCCATGAGTAAAGCTTTCAGCCTTTTTTACCCTAGTGATTCCAAGATTTCTGGTGTTTACAGACCCTGTTCTGGCGCACAGTTGCAGTTTTAATATGTCAGGCCATAGAAGCTCTTAAATAATTCTGTTCCCAAGAAAGATGAGTGAAAACTTCCCCTCTTGTCACCATGGGGACTACAGTCTGCTATAGCACTCCAGCTTCAAGACAGTGGCCTCTAAAAGCCCCTAGCAGCAGTAAGAATGCTAACACTGCAAGTACTGCATTTGCCTAGCGTGTGTCCAAGCACAGATTCACATGGCATCAGATGAAAGTGTGAAGTGACTCAAACACATATGACTGTAGTCATTATGCAAAGAGCCGCTACACAAAAGAACAAGGATTCTTCTTGGAATGTCCCAGGCTGCAGCTGAACAGCTGCTTTTGTAAACAGTCTGTCTACCTCCTTTGTAGATACCTCTGGTTGTCTTCCAGAAGAAGAAAAACCACCACAAAAAGTCCACCACAACTCCCATCTTATGCAAACTAGGTAAGATACAGGTGTCAATGACTGGACAAGAATTACGACATCTTCTTAGCAGGGCACCAAATAGTGTCAGGATAGAGCAGACAATGGACAGATTTGAATCTATGAAGAGAGGGGAAAAAAATTAGATTGGAATTCTCCATACAGGGAGCATACTAGCATTGAATGTGTAGCAGTCTGAGCAGAGAGAGTGGGTCTATCTGCCTTTGGCACAGTAGCGAGAGCTGACCTGAGAAAATAACCCCAGAAGTGGGTCTGAACATCTTACAGTTGATAAACATGAACAAGGTAGGGAGAACTTGTTTTGGAAGTGGACACTCACCGTGTTGGATCTTGCTGAAGGCCAAACACTCCTCCCACACTCACAACATTGTGTTTGTTCTCAGGGTCTCCGTAACTTAGGGTTACCTGTAAAAGTAAATAAAATTTCAAGATTTTAACACTAGTGCAGAGAACAGTGGGGACAGTAGGATTATTCATGAGGTATAAGGAAAGACAAGGATCCTGTCTAATCTGAACTGTGGATTACATCTGAAAAACAGTGTTTAGTTTTAATATAAGCAATACTGGCACTGAACAGTAGCTATCAAATGGACCACAGCTCACTTAAAGGCAACGTGGAAGAATAAACGAAGGAGCTGAAAGCTGCATTGCTCTGAAGGACAAGATGAGTTATAAGCAGCTTTCTAAGGGCATTAATTCCACTAATACCTGTATCTTCACTAAATAATATATGTTCACCCTCACTGGCCATTGCCTGAAATCTGCAATAGTAGTGTCTTAGCACAGAGGGAAAATAGAAACATTTGGCTGTTAAAGGACTGCCATGTGACAAACCTGGCAGCAACATTTATAACTCAAACTCCAATTTGGTGCTATTCTACCACAGAAGCCCTGCATTAAGAAATCTTCAGGTGCCAGGTACACGATGACTCACAGTTTCTTTCTGATTGCAAATTTTCTGGATTTTGGGTCAGCTGTTACAGCTTCAGGGAAACAATGATCATCAATGCAATGCTGTATTCAGCCTACAGTTAAATTCACTAGTGTGAAGGAGATTAAATGCTGCTGGAATTTGGCCCTAGGTGTACACTTCTGCTGCCTAATACAATTGCCAGGAAAATGCAGCCAAGCAGTTTGCAGGGGCAAAACCACGCTCCCTTTTGTTTATGGTGCCAAACAGCAAAAGGCGAAACCTCTGAATAGCCTTACAGCTCCATCTACTGCCCATGAGTAAAAAGGTATCCAAGCAATTAAAAATACTTGTTTTCCTAGAAACATTGATTCTGTTTCTTGAGATTCAGACAAATTATTCTTAAAAATGATCAGACATTTAACTACGTCTTAGCTGTTGAAGAGGTACTTGATACAGCTGCTACACTAGTCTTTTTGAATAGCATGAATTAAGACTGAGATTTTGTTAGGCAAAGACACAAATACTTTTTTTCATAGTAAGTAAACTAAGTACTGCCCCCTTCTACACTTGCTCCTATTGTGACTCATGGAAAGTCAGAGTTTAGAATGAGATGGAAGCATCATATCAGGGCTCAATGTAGCAGAACATATCCCCAAAGGAGGGCACTGCTGTATGACCTAACTGGCTAAGCTGAAAGTGTGCTTTTTACCTAACTGAACAAACTGGATGGGACACAGCTCCCAGGGCACAGACCAAGTCTGCAGACATCCTTCTTTGCTGAAGAGTGCGAAATTTATGGAGAGTACTCTTTGTGATCAGATTGAGATGTAATTATAAGAACAGAACATGAGGCTTCCCTACCTGCTGCAGCACAGACTCGCCTTGTAGTCTTTGCAGATTTTCCAGATGGGAATGGAACAATGGGCTATGCAGCAGCTTTACCTCCAGCAGCCCTTCAATGATGTAGCCAATAGTGCAGTCGTCAGGAAGACGCACTCTTTCTGCAGTACTGATGAAATTACCCAAGCTGTGAGAAGGAGCACAGGAGATGAAATATGCTTTAAAACCTAACACACACATGTTGATGGAGGTCAGCTAGGAGCAGTGTTTACCTGGCCCAGGGACTCATCTTCAGGGCAAGACCTCTGCTGATACAGAATCCTGCTCCACCTGTGGCAAACCAGAATTTCACGGTTGTCTTCTGAAGAACAATAAGAAAAACACACAGTAGTTACTGATGATCAGATTTTCCCGTTTGGCTGAACAGGGAAGGAAACCTGAGGTTCAACTGGATATCACATACTGTTGGAGTTCATCAACATACCTGAGTAAAGGAAGAGAAACAGACATCCACCCAGGAAACAAACCTATTATACATACGCACAGGAGGTCAGACTGAAGATTCATTTAACCCAGGACCCTACCTCTGAAAAACCACCAGGTTTGTTGCTTGCAGATTATATAACTTGTTTTTATCAGGGAATCCTACAAACTCTCAAGGTTTTAAAAGCTTAGAAGGTCAGGATGTCTTTCAGACTAACTGCAAAGTTTGCTTACTGATCCATCACTTTGGACATGATCAGCTGCTTCAATGGGATGGTCCAGGCTCGGTCGTCCCACGTAGACATCCTGGCTGTGTGAGAAGGCAGATAAGAGACGCAGGAGAGTCCGAGGGTTCACGTAGTTGTCATCATCTACATGGCAAAACCATCTTCAAATAAAACAAAATAAGAAAGTTACGCAGAGCAAAGAAACGAGTTACAAGTTTAACAGCTGAGTCTTAGTCTTCCATGCTTGGAGCAGAAAAGTATTTCCCATTGTCTTGAATGACAAACTTTGCAAGATGAAAGCACCCACAGATTCTAATTCTGGAAAGAGGCTGAAATGAATAACCCTCTTTAGATTATCGTCTTTTCCATGTTTCAGATAATGATGGTTTACAAACACGGCTTCATACTGTGCTTCTTCCCTCTGCTCATTACTACATTCTAGCTAATGCTGCACTCCTTACTGGACCAGAGGTGGTTATTCAAAGTTTCCTGTGAATACAGAACTGGAAGAAACAAAGTCAATCAGAACAATGTGTTTCACCTACTTTTGCCCAGATTCCAGGAACTTATCATATTCCACAGACATCTTGCAGCAGAGAGCTTGCCGGGTGTGGACAGCGGAACAGTTGGTGTTGATCATATGATCCCCTAGAAAATCAGAGACCAGCTCTTTCAGGTTTGAGAAGCATGCATAGTCCAGAAAAGACTACAAAAGAAGGGCACATTTGGCACAAATACAGTACATCTGAAGTGCATATGGTGCACAAATGGAGAGTAAACTGCAGGACAGGTCTTATGGGTTATGCATATGGCATGTGGGCTGTACAGAACATAAAAATGTGAGTACAGGGTATGTGAATAGTGCCATGAGACCGTATGCAAAGGAAATACCTAATATAACTTTGAAACAGATAGACTTAACATTACTAACAAGAAGGAAGTGGGTGCAAAGGGGAACCCAGTATTCAGGAAGTTCCAGGCATCTTGTCCAGGTGGTAAGAAGGAGCAGCATATTCTCCTGTGAAAGGAGAAGTTTTCTCTATCTTAACTTCCCTAATTGCTTGTACAGCATGAAAGAACAACTTCTAGGGCAAGTATGACAGAGACAACACTCAGCTCTAGCAGACAGCATGCACCTACACTACACAGCTTACCTGCTTTCAGACGTAGCTCCCGATCCTCCCAGTCTGTGAATATAAATGTCTGTGGAAGACAAAAATGGTTTGTCCGTATTCAAGAATTTCAGAAACTAGTTCCAGCTTTGGTCATCTGCAGTAAGAAGTCGGAAGGTTTCTCTCTCGTTAGTTAACAGTAGCCATCGGAAACGGGGTGGGGAGAACCCCAGCAACTTTACCCCCTGCCTTATTTGATAAGCTTTTACACTGCAAACAGAAGAGTCTCAGTAAAATAATAATTCATTTCAGCATCCAAGATTTTACTTCCCTCAGCTAGGGCTACAGACAGCTCATTTCCATATAGGAATGACTGATTTTTTTGGTAATACCTCCCTCCCTCTGCAACTCCATGCCCTCTCTTTGGCTAAGAGTCATCCTCAGGTATTAAGCAAGCTAAAAGAAAGGAAAGAAAGGGTGGAAAGGTCCTGGTGGTAACAGTCTTGTTCCAACTGCTGGGCAAAACATTAACATGCTTGAATGGACTGAAATTCCCAAACAAGGGAACAAATTCCACATTATTCTATGGAAATCCTAAGTTGCTGAACTACTTAGACAAAACTTCCACTTAGATGTGCCAGCACTCAGGATCTTTCACTATCCTGTAGCATTTTCCAGTCATACAAAAGTCAGCAAACTGCTTCTGCTTGGACCACTGATCCCAGCTTGCACGTAACTACCTCAAACAACGATGAAGTCTTTTGGAGGTAGGCTGAGACCTTCCCCAGTCTCCCTAGGAAAGAGGATTTTAACAAGTACAAGGAGAAAACGCAGCTGCCGCCCGGGAAAGCCCCGGGGCAAGGCCCCGGCCGCCCGCCCCGGCTCACCTGTCCCCTGGCCTGGGAGATCCAGGTCTGAAGCAGCAAGTCCAGCCGACTCTTGTGGTACTTCCTCGTGGTCTTCACGGCAATGAAGATGTCCTTTAGCTCCAGGCTTTCTCTGCCCGAGCCCCCGGCGGTCCCAGGGCGGCTCTTCCGCACGAGCTGCGAGCTGCCGGCGAGGCCTCCAACCCCGTGCCCCGGCTCCCCGCGAGAGCTCGTCCGCGTGCCGGACACAGCGCTGCTCCCGGAGACCGGCCGCTGCGGCGGGGGCCTGCTCGACCCGGCGGCGGGCGGAGGGCGGCGGCGGGGCGCGCCGGGGGGCTGCCCCCGCGGCAACAGGAGCAGGAGCAGGGCGGCAGCGCTAACGGACAGCAGGAAGCAGGCCTTGCGGAGCCCCAGGCAGGGGCTCATGCTGCAGCCCCGCGGGCCCGCGCCGCGCTGCGCGGCCGCCTCATGGCCCCGCAGGCAGGCGTCGGGTCCGGGCGGGCCGGCGCCGGGAGCCCGGCCGCGCCTCCCGCTCTCCCCAGCAGCGCTCGGTCCCGGCCAGGCGGTCGCCGCGGCCGACAGAGGGCAGCGCCCGGGCACCCCGGGCCACTCTGACCGGCGGCGGAGGTCCGCCCCGGGCGCCGTAGGCCGGCGAGCGCGGCCGGGCCCCACAGCGACGGGACCCCCCAGGCCGCCGCCCTGGGCTCCGGCGGCGGAGGCGAGACGGGCCGCGGCCCCTTTAAGGGCTTCACCTGTCGGACGCGGTTCGGCGGTGCCGCGCGGGCCGGAAGTGGAAGCAGAAGCGGAGGGAGAGGCGGGGAGGTCAACCGGAAGTGGTAGCCGCGAGGGGAAGGATGCCGCTGCCCGTCCAGGTCTTTAACTTGCAGGTACGGGGCAGCCGCCGCCTCCCCCCGCCGCCGTTCCCGCTCCCGCGCTGCTCCCGCGCGGTGCTCGATGGCGCGGCGCGGCCTGGCCCTGCCGCGGCCCCCGGGTGGCGCGGTGCGGCCTTCCCCCTCGGGTGCGCGCCCGTGGCTGCCTGGCGGGCAGGGGAGCCGCTCTCGGCCGGCCGTAGGCCCTCGTTCGCCCTTCCGCCGGGTCTGTTGTGTCGCTTCCGCTGGCGATCGCAGTGAACAGCGCCCAGCCTAGAGTCTGCTGGCGCCCGCGGCGTTCCTCGCCGCCGCAGCGGCCCCCTTGCTTGATTTCCGCGTTGTATGTGCCGTAGGTAGGGCCTGGGTAGTGGCGCAGGGTATACCGAGGTGGCGATGAAGAGGAACTGAGAGTCGGCAGTGCAGGGGGAAAGCCGCAGGAGCCCAGAGAGGGTCGGTGTACAGAGCCTGGACCTTCAGTAACAGCACAGGTGATCCCTTTGCGAGTTAACGGTCTCTCTTTCCTTTAGCAGCTAGCAAGTTCTCTGTCAGGGCGCAGGGTTGCAGGAAGTCGGGACAGAATGAGGGATAGTTCAGAATCCAGCTCAGCTTCTTCATCAGTGGCAGGTCTGGACTGCACCCCCGCAGTAGGTCGCACCTTTTCGTGAGTACAGTCGGAGACTTCAGGGGAACGCCGGAGAATCGGCCTGTATGAGGCCTTGTGAGGAACTTTCCAACTGGGTGCCTTGCTGGGCTCAGGAAATCTTGGGGAAGGAGCATTATTTTATTGGCTGGAGTAGTTCTTAATTGAACTTTGCATCTTCCAAAATAAAGACTTAGTTTGAAAATGCCTGAGTTTGCCTGTCCTAGTGGGGCTTCCAGCCCACTTGTGGTTTTCCTTATTTGGGAGTTAAGAGAGAAAGGCAGAGTACAGCCTACCAGCGCAGCAGGACACAAATCATTCTGTTCCACCAGCTGGAGTTACTCTTAATTTCTGTAATGCTGATTTCTTCTAAGGAGCCCATATCAGGTTTTTCCTATGGTAGGCAAACACAGCCTAAAAAAACCCAACCCTGACACTTAGTGTTTCTGATATAAGAAAAGAGATAAGGTAGATAAAAATGGAAAAAGTAATGGTCTCAATGTACGATGTCTTAAATGTTTATATGCACGGTTTTCCTGGGTAGTGAACTGAACAGTCAAACTCTCCTTTGCATCCTCCTCTCTTTCCTTCATGCAGAGAATCGTATTCTTTACTATACCAAGCTAGGAAGCAGACATCTATATGCTTTACTTTAGATTTTGGGAGACCCACATCAGTGTTGAGATATGTACATATTTGGTACATATCAGTCTGTGAAAGAATAAGCAGGCTGTGGGGGAATACAAGATGGATCAAATTTTAGAGCTAGGGAATCTGGAGCTGCCCTGTTTCTCTTCACACACACCCCAACCCAACCCCCAGATCCCTCTAATAATTTATTTCTTAACAGACAACAAAATCGATTAAACCATGGAAATAATTTGGTGTTGGTGGGGACAAGGTGGTTTTGTCTTTTTTAAGGCCCACTTGTACAATTTGCTTCGAATCAGGTGTTGCTTATGGCAATATCTGCACATATTCAGCATGATTTTCCTGAGATCAAATCAGGAAAATAATATATGGAGTGAATGTTCAGCACACTTTTGACTAGGAGAAGGAAAAGAATTTCATGCTAGCATGCCGGTTTTGTTAGTGGGACTGTATAGTAAATTGGTCTTTGTCATGGTTTAACCCCAGCCAGGATTCCCAGGTGGTCTCCCATCCAAATGCTAACCAGGTTACTTCTTAAATGGGAAGACCTGCAGGCGTTGTCTTGATATAGCTGTACTGATGTCACTGAACTGGTTCAAAGCAGTGCAAGATATACTGGGAGAAAAAAATTCTGCTGTTCTGCAAAAGACAGTCTGTGTGACCAGTTGGACTCAGATAGTGGGATAGTTCAACTGATAATTATTTTTTCCCCAGTATTTGTTAGGATCTCTGGAATTATCATTCTGCATTCTGTTCTTTACATTTTTTTAATACTCTTAAAAGTGTAACAGTTGTCATCTTTTTTTTGTCTCTGCACCCCCACCCCCCTCCCCCCCGAAAAATACCCAACAACTACTTTTAAGCATTGAGTAAAGCACCTTTGAAAGGTTCTTGTGATTTTTGGGGTATTTCTGGAGCTCCTTGAGCTGAATGTTAATGCCTGCACTTGCTCAAGGAAGAGAAATGCAACAATATATGGCATTTAGGGTGCATGCCTGAGATACTTTGTAGAACCAGATTTATTGACCCCTTCACTGTCTTGCCTAATAATCTACCAAACAAAATAAGATGTTCTGTGGGAATGCTGAGCCTTAGTGCTGCTTGTTTGAGACAAAGCATGGTGCTGAGTAGTGGTATTGCTAGAGAAAAATGCTAAACATGTCCAAAGACTGAGGAGTGTTTTTTCATTAAAAAATGAATGTGTATTTAACCAAGTTCTTAATAGATTGAATCACATAGGTTTTTTTGCCCAAATGTAATAAACTACTTTTCACTTCATTTTGCATTTCTAGGGTGCAGTAGAACCCATGCAGATTGACGTAGATCCACAAGAAGATCAGCAAAATGCACCTGATATCAACTATGTCGTGGAGAACCCCACTCTGGTATGTGCTGGTTGAGGGCTAGTGGATTACATTTCTTGGGCATGGACTCTTCCTTTGAGGTTTTGGAAAAACCCTCATTTTACTCCTTATCAAATTGTTATGTAGAGATTAACAGATTCTCTTCAAAGCAAGGTGGGGTAAGAATAGCCATGATCTCCTCTGTAGCTCCTAGTCACGTACTGACCTTTACTGAACTTTCTGAGATGAAGGAGGAATCGCTGCTTTGTGACTTCCTGCTTGCTGCCTGTTTGAGACAGTTTCCGTTCTGAGATAGTTTAGTCCATCTCTGATTACTTAGAGATGCGTAATTCCTGTATTTTGAGGCTTGGTCTTTGAGGAGCAAGGCTCAGGTGCTTTAAGTATATAAATCAGGATTGAATTCTTTCATTGTTTGATCCTCTGGAGACTGACTAAAGCCCACAGAACTGTAGAGTTATAAAAGGCTGTATTTGCTCGTATCAGTTTCTTCAATTTTTAGTTTGTTTTTGACTGTTTGATACTTAGAGCAATTTTTATGTATTAGCTCTGTAACACTGAGAGATGGTTGTTGCAGAAGAGAACGAAAATATTGATTGAAAAAGTTAAAGCCACATTAAAATTGCAAAATAAAGCATTTAGTTAGGAAGCTTTGGATCTCACATAACTTCTGGAGCTTTAAATGGTTCCTCTTGTCCCTGTGCGTAATTAGCAATTGTCACATGGTTACTCACTCTGTACTGCACAACTCTCTTTTTTAGTGTTTTTTGTTTGATTTGTTAGTTTGGTCTTTTTTGTTTGTTGTTTGGTTTGGTTTTTAGCTATGACCTGATACTTTGTTTGATTTCATTGCCTTTCAATTCTGTTCTGAAGCTAGAGTGATGAAGCAGTTATGTTGTGACCTTTGTCTTTGCTATTGCTATAGATCTAGTGTGCTGCAAAACTTAGCAATTTTCTTTTCACTGTAACTTATGTGAAGGACCATAATTACCCTTTGACATTCAAAGAGCTGAAGAGTGAAGTGAAATTACTTGGGTATTTCAGGAGTATTGCACGCCATCAGGCATGAAATTGTGGAAGAAAGAATGCTCATGTTATACGTTTGAAGTTATGAGGCAAATAAAGCAGGAATCCTAAACACAAATTTTCAGTGCACACGATGGTGTTTAAATCTCAGAGCAAGGTCGTTCATGTTAGAAAATGTTACCGTGACATCTGTAACGGTATCTTAATTTAGACATGCAGGGGTGAGGGGGTCAGACATGACACAGGATGTGTATTAGATGTAGGCAGGCAACCTGCATTGGGTCTCTCCTACTGACTAAATGCTTGACTTTGCCCTGAACACTCTGCTATAGTTGCTTGCATGTGGACTTCTGACTTCAGGCAAGCTCCCTGCCATGCTGTATCATATCTTTACTAGTCATTTTGTGCTTCTCTTCTCCCTTCCACCCCAAGGCTTAAAATCTGTTAAGTGTTCAGAATTTAAAACTCAAATCCTTCCTCAAGAGTAAAAGATCCTATATGTTCTCAGAGGAGATATTTTAAGAAATTAGTGGGAAAAAAAGAATGCAAACTGTCATATAGAAACTGGTTTTAATTATTTTTCAAGGAAGAACCACATTTGGAATGGTTTTCTGGTTTAGAAAACTTCAGCTCCAATGATGGAAACTTGATAAAGTTACTAGCAGGTGATTCAGCTGATGCTTACAATTGATGATCTGATGCCTTATGGACAGCATTACACCTGAAATAAAGAAAGGAAAATTGTGATGTACTGCATGTTTCTGAGGAAATTGCTAACCTTTGAAGAAAATGGAAATGGAATAAGCTTACCTGATATTTCATTTGTCTGAGTCGTGTTGCTCTCCATAGAGGGGTCAGGGCTGCAGGCAAACCTGTGCAGGTCACAAAGTAGTAGCCTGATTTTGTGTTGCATCTTCACCTTTTAAGAGCAGGTCTTGTTTGCAGGATTTGGAGCAGTACGCCTCGAGCTACAGTGGGCTGATGCGAATCGAGCGACTGCAGTTCATTGCTGATCACTGCCCCCAGCTGCGGGTGGAAGCTCTCAAGATGGCTCTTTCATTTGTCC